GTGGTATTATGTCCGCTCCAGAGTACAGACACCAAAACTGAACTGTAAACATTCAAGTGGTATTATGTCCGCTCCAGAGTACAGACACCAAAACTGAACTGTAAACATTCCAGTGGTATTATGTCCGCTCCAGAGTACAGACACCAAAACTGAACTGTAAACATTCAAGTGGTATTATGTCCGCTCCAGAGTACAGACACCAAAACTGAACTGTAAACATTCCAGTGGTATTATGTCCGCTCCAGAGTACAGACACCAAAACTGAACTGTAAACATTCCAGTGGTATTATGTCCGCTCCAGAGTACAGACACCAAAACTGAACTGTAAACATTCCAGTGGTATTATGTCCGCTCCAGAGTACAGACACCAAAACTGAACTGTAAACATTCCAGTGGTATTATGTCCGCTCCAGAGTACAGACACCAAAACTGAACTGTAAACATTCCAGTGGTATTATGTCCGCTCCAGAGTACAGACACCAAAACTGAACTGTAAACATTCCAGTGGTATTATGTCCGCTCCAGAGTACAGACACCAAAACTGAACTGTAAACATTCCAGTGGTATTATGTCCGCTCCAGAGTACAGACACCAAAACTGAACTGTAAACATTCCAGTGGTATTATGTCCGCTCCAGAGTACAGACACCAAAACTGAACTGTAAACATTCCAGTGGTATTATGTCCGCTCCAGAGTACAGACACCAAAACTGAACTGTAAACATTCCAGTGGTATTATGTCCGCTCCAGAGTACAGACACCAAAACTGAACTGTAAACATTCCAGTGGTATTATGTCCGCTCCAGAGTACAGACACCAAAACTGAACTGTAAACATTCCAGTGGTATTATGTCCGCTCCAGAGTACAGACACCAAAACTGAACTGTAAACATTCCAGTGGTATTATGTCCGCTCCAGAGTACAGACACCAAAACTGAACTGTAAACATTCCAGTGGTATTATGTCCGCTCCAGAGTACAGACACCAAAACTGAACTGTAAACATTCCAGTGGTATTATGTCCGCTCCAGAGTACAGACACCAAAACTGAACTGTAAACATTCCAGTGGTATTATGTCCGCTCCAGAGTACAGACACCAAAACTGAACTGTAAACATTCCAGTGGTATTATGTCCGCTCCAGAGTACAGACACCAAAACTGAACTGTAAACATTCCAGTGGTATTATGTCCGCTCCAGAGTACAGACACCAAAACTGAACTGTAAACATTCCAGTGGTATTATGTCCGCTCCAGAGTACAGACACCAAAACTGAACTGTAAACATTCCAGTGGTATTATGTCCGCTCCAGAGTACAGACACCAAAACTGAACTGTAAACATTCCAGTGGTATTATGTCCGCTCCAGAGTACAGACACCAAAACTGAACTGTAAACATTCCAGTGGTATTATGTCCGCTCCAGAGTACAGACACCAAAACTGAACTGTAAACATTCCAGTGGTATTATGTCCGCTCCAGAGTACAGACACCAAAACTGAACTGTAAACATTCCAGTGGTATTATGTCCGCTCCAGAGTACAGACACCAAAACTGAACTGTAAACATTCCAGTGGTATTATGTCCGCTCCAGAGTACAGACACCAAAACTGAACTGTAAACATTCCAGTGGTATTATGTCCGCTCCAGAGTACAGACACCAAAACTGAACTGTAAACATTCCAGTGGTATTATGTCCGCTCCAGAGTACAGACACCAAAACTGAACTGTAAACATTCCAGTGGTATTATGTCCGCTCCAGAGTACAGACACCAAAACTGAACTGTAAACATTCCAGTGGTATTATGTCCGCTCCAGAGTACAGACACCAAAACTGAACTGTAAACATTCCAGTGGTATTATGTCCGCTCCAGAGTACAGACACCAAAACTGAACTGTAAACATTCCAGTGGTATTATGTCCGCTCCAGAGTACAGACACCAAAACTGAACTGTAAACATTCCAGTGGTATTATGTCCGCTCCAGAGTACAGACACCAAAACTGAACTGTAAACATTCCAGTGGTATTATGTCCGCTCCAGAGTACAGACACCAAAACTGAACTGTAAACATTCCAGTGGTATTATGTCCGCTCCAGAGTACAGACACCAAAACTGAACTGTAAACATTCCAGTGGTATTATGTCCGCTCCAGAGTACAGACACCAAAACTGAACTGTAAACATTCCAGTGGTATTATGTCCGCTCCAGAGTACAGACACCAAAACTGAACTGTAAACATTCCAGTGGTATTATGTCCGCTCCAGAGTACAGACACCAAAACTGAACTGTAAACATTCCAGTGGTATTATGTCCGCTCCAGAGTACAGACACCAAAACTGAACTGTAAACATTCCAGTGGTATTATGTCCGCTCCAGAGTACAGACACCAAAACTGAACTGTAAACATTCCAGTGGTATTATGTCCGCTCCAGAGTACAGACACCAAAACTGAACTGTAAACATTCCAGTGGTATTATGTCCGCTCCAGAGTACAGACACCAAAACTGAACTGTAAACATTCCAGTGGTATTACTCCAGAGTACAGACACCAAAACTGAACTGTAAACATTCAGTGGTATTATGTCCGCTCCAGAGTACAGACACCAAAACTGAACTGTAAACATTCCAGTGGTATTATGTCCGCTCCAGAGTACAGACACCAAAACTGAACTGTAAACATTCCAGTGGTATTATGTCCGCTCCAGAGTACAGACACCAAAACTGAACTGTAAACATTCCAGTGGTATTATGTCCGCTCCAGAGTACAGACACCAAAACTGAACTGTAAACATTCCAGTGGTATTATGTCCGCTCCAGAGTACAGACACCAAAACTGAACTGTAAACATTCCAGTGGTATTATGTCCGCTCCAGAGTACAGACACCAAAACTGAACTGTAAACATTCCAGTGGTATTATGTCCGCTCCAGAGTACAGACACCAAAACTGAACTGTAAACATTCCAGTGGTATTATGTCCGCTCCAGAGTACAGACACCAAAACTGAACTGTAAACATTCCAGTGGTATTATGTCCGCTCCAGAGTACAGACACCAAAACTGAACTGTAAACATTCCAGTGGTATTATGTCCGCTCCAGAGTACAGACACCAAAACTGAACTGTAAACATTCCAGTGGTATTATGTCCGCTCCAGAGTACAGACACCAAAACTGAACTGTAAACATTCAAGTGGTATTATGTCCGCTCCAGAGTACAGACACCAAAACTGAACTGTAAACATTCCAGTGGTATTATGTCCGCTCCAGAGTACAGACACCAAAACTGAACTGTACAGACACCAAAACTGAACAAGTGGTATTATGTCCGCTCCAGAGTACAGACACCAAAACTGAACTGTAAACATTCCAGTGGTATTATGTCCGCTCCAGAGTACAGACACCAAAACTGAACTGTAAACATTCCAGTGGTATTATGTCCGCTCCAGAGTACAGACACCAAAACTGAACTGTAAACATTCCAGTGGTATTATGTCCGCTCCAGAGTACAGACACCAAAACTGAACTGTAAACATTCAAGTGGTATTATGTCCGCTCCAGAGTACAGACACCAAAACTGAACTGTAAACATTCAAGTGGTATTATGTCCGCTCCAGAGTACAGACACCAAAACTGAACTGTAAACATTCAAGTGGTATTATGTCCGCTCCAGAGTACAGACACCAAAACTGAACTGTAAACATTCAAGTGGTATTATGTCCGCTCCAGAGTACAGACACCAAAACTGAACTGTAAACATTCAAGTGGTATTATGTCCGCTCCAGAGTACAGACACCAAAACTGAACTGTAAACATTCAAGTGGTATTATGTCCGCTCCAGAGTACAGACACCAAAACTGAACTGTAAACATTCCAGTGGTATTATGTCCGCTCCAGAGTACAGACACCAAAACTGAACTGTAAACATTCAAGTGGTATTATGTCCGCTCCAGAGTACAGACACCAAAACTGAACTGTAAACATTCCAGTGGTATTATGTCCGCTCCAGAGTACAGACACCAAAACTGAACTGTAAACATTCCAGTGGTATTATGTCCGCTCCAGAGTACAGACACCAAAACTGAACTGTAAACATTCCAGTGGTATTATGTCCGCTCCAGAGTACAGACACCAAAACTGAACTGTAAACATTCAAGTGGTATTATGTCCGCTCCAGAGTACAGACACCAAAACTGAACTGTAAACATTCCAGTGGTATTATGTCCGCTCCAGAGTACAGACACCAAAACTGAACTGTAAACATTCCAGTGGTATTATGTCCGCTCCAGAGTACAGACACCAAAACTGAACTGTAAACATTCCAGTGGTATTATGTCCGCTCCAGAGTACAGACACCAAAACTGAACTGCGTAATGTAAATAAGTTCTAACAAAGAGCGAGATAAAGATGAGGAATATTTTGTATTTTCTTGCTGCTATCACTTGTTGGAATAAATCCCAGAATTCCACACGCTTTATTCCCAACATTTATGTATTGATTTTGTTGATTAGTTGCCTACAGCTCATGCTGAGCTGTTGTTTTATCCCCCCATGCCTTCCTTGTGACATTTATGTTATCGTCTGTTGACTGGCTATCTTACCCCTTGTCTCCAGGCTGTGTTATCCTGTCTTCATGCTGTGTTATCCACGTCCTCGCTGCTGTGTTATCCACGTCCTCTCTGCTGTGTTATCCCTGTCTCCATGCTGTGTTATCCACGTCCTCTCTGCTGTGTTATCCACGTCCTCTCTGCTGTGTTATCCTCTGTCTCCATGCTGTGTTATCCCTGTCTCCGTGCTGTGTTATCCTGTCTTCATGCTGTGTTACCCTGTCTCCGTGCTGTGTTATCCTCTGCCTCCATGCTGTGTTGTCCTCTGCCCACATGCTGTGTTATCCTGTCTCCATGCTGTGTTATCCCCTGCCTGCAGTCAGCACACAATACGTGCATCTCTTATTTTTTTAACGACGTAAACAGTTTGTTTCCAGCAAAGCAGAAGACAGTCCACCAAACATGACAGGTGTGGACAGTCCATTCAACATGACAGGTGAGGACAGTCCATCCAACATGACAGGTGTGGACAGTCCATCTAACATGACAGGTGAGGACAGTCCACCAAACATGACAAGTGAGGACAGTCCACCAAACATGACAGGTGAGGACAGTCCATCAAACATGACAGGTGAGGACAGTCCATCAAACATGACAGGTGAGGACAGTCCACCAAACATGACTGGTGAGGACAGTCCATCAAACATGACATGTGAGGACAGTCCACCAAACATGACAGGTGAGGACAGTCCACCAAACATGACAAGTGAGGACAGTCCACCAAACATGACAGGTGAGGACAGTCCATCAAACATGACATGTGAGGACAGTCCACCAAACATGACAGGTGAGGACAGTCCACCAAACATGACAGGTGAGGACAGTCCACCAAACATGACAGGTGAGGACAGTCCACCTAACATGACAGGTGTGGCCAGTCCACCAAACATGACAGGAGTGGACAGTGCACTGAACATGACAGGTGTGGACAGTCCACCAAACATGACAGGTGAGGACAGTCCATCAAACATGACAGGTGTGGCCAGTCCACCAAACATGACAGGTGTGGACAGTGCACTAAACAAGACAGGTGTGGACAGTACATCAAACATAACAGATGAGGAAAGTCCACCAAACATGACAGGTGAGGACAGTCCACCAAACATGACAGGTGAGGACAGTCCATCAAACATGACAGGTGAGGACAGTCCATCAAACATGACAGGTGAGGACAGTCCACCAAACATGACTGGTGAGGACAGTCCATCAAACATGACATGTGAGGACAGTCCACCAAACATGACAGGTGAGGACAGTCCACCAAACATGACACGTGAGGACAGTCCACCAAACATGACAGGTGAGGACAGTCCATCAAACATGACATGTGAGGACAGTCCACCAAACATGACAGGTGAGGACAGTCCACCAAACATGACAAGTGAGGACAGTCCACCAAACATGACAGGTGAGGACAGTCCACCTAACATGACAGGTGTGGCCAGTCCACCAAACATGACAGGAGTGGACAGTGCACTGAACATGACAGGTGTGGACAGTCCACCAAACATGACAGGTGAGGACAGTCCATCAAACATGACAGGTGTGGCCAGTCCACCAAACATGACAGGTGTGGACAGTGCACTAAACAAGACAGGTGTGGACAGTACATCAAACATAACAGATGAGGAAAGTCCACCAAACATGACAGGTGAGGACAGTCCACCAAACATGACAGGTGAGGACAGTCCATCAAACATGACAGGTGAGGACAGTGCACTAAACATTAGTGGTGTATGCAGCCCAGCAGGGAGACCGAATTGAGAGCAAGAATGGCCTCTGCTGGGCTTATTGAGACATTTGAACGACGCATAAGTTGTTATACTCCGGTTGACAGTCATCAGATCCCATACTTCACAACCACAAGTAATGTAAAACAGATAAGTAACCCATATTTCTCCCAGGCTTCAAGATTTCACACAAGTCGAGAGGAATAATTCAACAAAAAATGCATGTCCAAACTACGAACTGTAATCCATATATCCATTACTTTTGAGGGGTAGACCAGGATAATATTATCACCGCGTATTAAAAGTCACTATAACACATATACTTCGATTAAATCCCATGTTGCAACCACCCAGTACTACGCCCTAACCTAACCTGCTACAGGTTCTCCATATCATCTGAGCAGGATGGGAATAAGACTAGACAAACCAAACAAATGTAACTCGTCTTAGTATGGCCTGAACGTCAGTCTCCGCTATTCCATACTACAAAACTTTCAACACTTTCTCTAAATAATCAGCAAATTATCATAATTATATTGTTGACTGCTGAACGATTCAGCTTAAATAGATGAGAGAGAGCGGCGCATTGAGTCGACCAACCTTCACGTTGCTCTGTAATCTGGCCCTTACAGCAGGTCCGTATATGACGGGATCAATATAATTGTTGGTAGGTAATGGACAGTAATGGCAATCAATAGTGTGCGGGGCGTGCATGGCATGCTAGCGTGCGTAGCGTGCGTGACGTGCGTAGCGTGCATGACGTACGTAGCGTGCATGACGTGCGTGGCGTGCGTAGCGTGCATGACGTGCGTGACGTGCGTAGCGTGCGTGACGTGCGTAGCGTGCGTGACGTGCGTAGCGTGCGTGACGTGCGTAGCGTGCATGACGTGCGTAGCGTGCGTGACGTGCGTAGCGTGCGTGACGTGCGTAGCGTGCGTGACGTGCGCAGCGTGCGTGACGTGCGTAGCGTGCATGACGTGCGTAGCGTGCGTGACGTGCGTAGCGTGCATGACGTGCGTAGCGTGCGTGACGTGCGTAGCGTGCGTGCCGTGCATGACGTGCGTAGCGTGCATGGCGTGCGTGACGTGCGTAGCGTGCATGACGTGCGTAGCGTGCGTGACGTGCGTAGCGTGCATGACGTGCGTAGCGTGCATGGCGTGCGTAGCGTGCGTGACGTACGTAGCGTGCGTGACGTACGTAGCGTGCGTGACGTACGTAGCGTGCGTGACGTACGTAGCGTGCGTGACGTGCATGGCGTGCGTGACGTGCGTGACGTACGTAGCGTGCGTGGCGTGCGTGACGTGCGTGGCGTGCGTAGCGTGCATGACGTGCGTAGCGTGCGTGGCGTGCATGACGTGCGTAGCGTGCATGACGTGCGTAGCGTGCATGGCGTGCATGACGTGCGTAGCGTGCATGACGTGCGTAGCGTGCGTGACGTGCGTGGCGTGCGTAGCGTGCATGACGTGCGTAGCGTGCATGACGTGCGTGGCGTGCGTGACGTGCGTAGCGTGCGTGGCGTGCATGACGTGCGTGACGTGCGTAGCGTGCATGACGTGCGTAGCGTGCATGACGTGCGTGGCGTGCGTGACGTGCGTAGCGTGCATGACGTGCGTAGCGTGCATGACGTGCGTGGCGTGCGTGACGTGCGTAGCGTGCGTGACGTGCGTGACGTACGTAGCGTGCGTGACGTACGTAGCGTGCGTGACGTACGTAGCGTGCGTGGCGTGCATGGCGTGCGTAGCGTGCGTGGCGTGCATGGCGTGCGTAGCGTGCATGGCGTGCGTAGCGTGCGTGGCGTGCATGGCGTGCGTAGCGTGCATGGCGTGCGTAGCGTGCATGACGTGCGTAGCGTGCATGACGTGCGTAGCGTGCGTGGCGTGCATGGCGTGCGTAGCGTGCATGGCGTGCGTAGCGTGCGTGGCGTGCATGGCGTGCGTAGCGTGCGTGCGTGACGTGCGTAGCGTGCATGACGTGCGTAGCGTGCATGACGTGCGTAGCGTGCGTGGCGTGCATGGCGTGCGTGGCGTGCATGGCGTGCGTAGCGTGCGTGGCGTGCATGGCGTGCGTGGCGTGCATGGCGTGCGTAGCGTGCGTGGCGTGCATGGCGTGCGTGGCGTGCATGGCGTGCGTAGCGTGCGTGGCGTGCATGGCGTGCGTGGCGTGCATGGCGTGCGTAGCGTGCATGACGTGCGTAGCGTGCATGACGTGCGTAGCGTGCGTGACGTGCATGGCGTGCGTGACGTACGTAGCGTGCGTGGCGTGCGTGACGTGCGTGGCGTGCGTGACGTGCGTAGCGTGCGTGACGTGCGTGACGTGCGTGACGTACGTAGCGTGCGTGGCGTGCGTGACGTGCGTAGCGTGCGTGGCGTGCATGACGTGCGTAGCGTGCGTGGCGTGCATGGCGTGCGTGGCGTGCATGGCGTGCGTAGCGTGCATGACGTGCGTAGCGTGCATGACGTGCGTAGCGTGCGTGGCGTGCATGGCGTGCGTAGCGTGCGTGGCGTGCTTGGCGTGCGTAGCGTGCGTGGCGTGCTTGGCGTGCGTAGCGTGCGTGGCGTGCATGGCGTGCGTAGCGTGCGTGACGTGCGTGGCGTGCGTAGCGTGCCTGGCGTGCATGGCGTGCGTAGCGTGCGTGGCGTGCATGGCGTGCGTGACGTGCGTGGCGTGCATGGCGTGCGTGACGTGCGTAGCGTGCATGACGTGCGTGGCGTGCGTGACGTGCGTGGCGTGCGTAGCGTGCGTGACGTGCGTGACGTGCGTGACGTGCGTGACGTGCGTGGCGTGCATGACGTGCGTAGCGTGCGTGACGTGCGTGACGTGCGTAGCGTGCATGACGTGCGTAGCGTGCATGACGTGCGTAGCGTGCATGACGTGCGTGGCGTGCGTGACGTGCGTGACGTGCGTGACGTGCGTGGCGTGCATGACGGAATAATAACGTCGCTGAAGATGTGATGGACAAACCACACTTCAGAAAATGGAAGAAAGTGCGTCGTTTCGGTCCGTTCGTTTCGGACCATAACCAAGTGCTGTGACTGAAAGTGGCAGATACAAATATATATATATGGTAAGAGTGTGAAATGAAAGATCAGATGCATGTAAGAGGAAGAAGAAAGGTAAGAATAAGAAGAAAGGTAAGAATAAGAAGAAAGGTAAAAATAAGAAGAAAGGAAAGAAAAAGGTTAAAGGTAAGAATAATATTTTGAAAGGCAAGAATATGATTAAAGTAAGAATAAGCACAGGGTAAGAATATAATAAAAGCTAAGATCAAGAATATTTAAGAATAAGATGAAGGGTAAGAAAAAGAGGAAGGAATAAGTGAAATTGAAAAAAAAGAGACTTAAGTAAAGTAAAGGAAAGGTAAGAAGCAAGAAAAATGGAAGAATAGGAAATGGCGTAAATAAGAAAAAGTTAGAAAAAACAGGAAGGGGAAATAAAGAAAAACTGCACAAGGCCTAAAACCCTAGTAACGTGTTTGTGTACTCACCTAGTTGTTCTCACATAGTTGTGGTTGCGGTGGTTGAGCTTTGGCTCTTTGGTCCCGCTTCTCAACTGTCAATCAACTGGTGTACAGGTTCTTGAGCCTACTGGGCTCTATCATATCTACATTTGAAACTGTGTATGGAGTCAACCTCCACCACATCACTTCCTAGTGCATTCCATTTACTAACTGTTCTGACACTGAAAAAATTCTAATGTCTCTGTGGCTCATTTGGGCCTTCAGCTTCCACCTGTGTCACCTTGTGTGTATACCACTCGTGTTAAATAATCCATCCTTGTCTACCCAGTCAATTCCCCTGAGAATTTTGTATGTGGTGATCATATCTCTTCGAGCTCTTCAGTGTTCCAGCGATGTGAGGTGCATTTCACGCAGCCTTTCCTCATAACTCATGCTTCTTAGTGCTGGGATTAGCCTAGTGGCATATCTCTGAACTTTGTCCAGCTTCGTCTTGTGTTTGACAAGGTACGGGCTCCATGCTGGGGCCGCATACTCCATGATTGGTCTCACATACGTGGTATACAAGGTTCTGAAAGATTCCTTACATAGGTTTCTGAGGGCAGTTCTGATGTTAGCCAGCCTCGCATACGCCGCCGATGGTATCATTTTGATGTAGGCTTCAGGAGACAGGTTTGGCGTATTATCAACTCCAAGATCTTTGTTCTTGATTCAGAAATGTTTCCAATGAAATTTCTTTTATAACTTATTATTGAAGAAGACTCCCAACCAACTTGATGATAATATTCTGACAAATGAATAAATGGAGACTGAGATAATTGGCAGTTTTTACACATTGTTTATGCTGCGAAATTCGAAATTTCAAATCTTTGGATGTTTGAACTCTATGCATGTATTTGAATCTTTATACGGTATTTTCAAAATTACACAGTTATCACATCGAGGGCTGTTTCTAACCAATAATTTTCCAACTGTGTTTTCATAATTAAACAACACATGTATATACAAAAGTTTCAAGGTGTTATGAATCAATAATACTTGATTCTGACATTTATCATGATAAGCATGTAGATTATTTATTTCATTCTTCAGTTAATTAGGAGATTGATAATACATCCTATTGTTTTCTTGCGTATATTGTTTAAGTTAACTGTAGCATGCTGTAGTGTGCTTATAGGATATATTTCTTTGATATTATTGCATGTATATTCATGTGAGTGGGGACAGGCGTCTCGTGGGGGGGGGGTGCCCATATTTGGTGTCTCCACTGATGCGGGACATTGTACCCAACTTAATATTATAATTCACCTCTTTAATTAATCTGTAATATAGTATGTGCACTTTTTATAATTGCCCCTAATTAGTAACAAATGTATTGACTGTTGTTTATAATATTGTTTGCCAGCATCACTCTCGGCCAGCAGAGTACCTGAGAGTATTGTTGTCTATCTCAGTTTGGTAACTTGTAGACGCCTCGCCGAGTCGGCGTCTGGCTGGTCAGTCGCGGGGGTGGAGCTCACTGGAGTGGATCTGTTGAAATTGAAATTGAAATAAGTTTATTGAGGTAAAATACACACAAA